TAGAGTTATAACGAGATTAAGTTAAAAGAATAACTTCACAGATTATAACATTTCAACTTAAGAGCAAGTTAGCTATAGATTCAGTCAATAGCATACTTTCTGGAAGAAGGAGGGAAATAAACAATCATGCACTTTTAATCTAAAAAGGCATGTCATTGAACAGAGTGACGAGTGATAAGGAGGAGGTTAATAAGGATTTTAAATAGACTTTTCTTGTCAATGATTGTAATTTTTTCCTTGCAGCGCTTAGGTTTAAGCCTGTGAATGATAACCAGATGGCAACAGCTGCAACATGGCGGCACTTCAAAGACATACTGAGCAGATCTGTATCCTGTACCAATGGCAGTTTTAAATCGTTCTGCTGTAATTTTTTCGTTCCGGAATTTTTTTCATTGTGTAGTATCGCTGATGAAAATGATATCCTGGATGCATTTGAATAAGATTTACTCTGATGATCGGAATTCAATAACCTTTGCGTCAGTTTTGGACTTATTTAAATAAGATTTCTTTAATTTGTCATAAAGGATAACTTTGATAAGTTTACATCTATAAATATAATTATAATATTTTGTATCGTCTGCCAGATCTTTCAAGCTTGTTTTGTGAAGATGTCGGTCGTGGATTTATATACAATCAATAACAATTGTGGGTGTAAAGTATACATAGGGTAGATTTAATTTGTAAGCATGTGTCTTTTCTATTCTGTTTTATCATTAAACTATTTTTTTCTTTGTTCGTTATGATGGTTTAAGGTGTATAACGCCTTATATTCAGAAGTTTTATCTTTCATTGATTTTATTTGCCAGGACTTTGTTAAAAGATTTTAATGTCTTCGAAATTTAATTTAATTTGCAAGTACGATACTGTATACATTTAATATGTATGCTAGGACCGTTCTAAACAGCAGCCATCGATGCAATAATTGGAAATAACTTTAATTTGACCGCCAAAAATAAAAAAAATAATAACATCAACTAGAAATAGAAATGAAGAATTACGAAAGCGTCAGAAGATTTTGAAATAAGGTGACTCAATGAAAGAGGGAGAAAACCCAAAACATTTGTTTGCTGTACAGTAATAAATGTTGTGACAATGGTGTCTCAAACGTGATATATAAAGCAAAAATCTAGATAAACAGTGTTTCTCAAGGAGCCACTTCTAGTTTATAGAGTCATTGCACTGCAGTGCATTATCACCTTCCGAAGTGGTCTGGCAATAATAAGAAAATCGGTCGAAATAATTCTCTAAAACAATGATTAATTCTTCCGAGAGGCATTGTGTATCATTATGACTTATACTGCATCTTATGCAATTGCTGTAAATCCCACTTGGTAAGGTTCGTTTAATAAGTTTTTTTGCCTTTTACTAAATTTCATTGCAACCGATTTTAAAAATATTGTTGAAATAGTATTATCTATATTTAAATTTATATATCATTGCTTACATGCAGTAAAACTTAATAAAACTTTCTACATACTTTGTGTTTTTTTAGATATGGAAGAGAAAGGTTTGGAATTGAGAAAATTCAATGAATACGAAACATGAAAAAGGCCGATTGTGAGACTTTGTTATTTCTTAGAACTAAAGACTCTTCTGTGATATCTCATTCCATTTCTAACCAAATTTCTTTTCTTTCATCATTTAATAGGGGCGTAATATATATAAAATGTATTTCTACAAAAAAAAAAAGAAAAAAAAGGAGATTGTTTGTCTTCTTTCAAAATGATCGTGTAATTTTTCGTATATTTTTAACACGTTCACATATTCCAAATAAAATTGATCAAATTAAGCCTTCGAGTATGTTCTGTAAGAAAACTAAATCTATTACATGTATATACAGGTTTGAAATGAGCAAATTTGAAAAATAATTCTTGTACAAAGTTTGACCTTTTTTTCTTCTAAAATTCATAATTAATTTTCTTCCAATCTTGAGGTGTCAAATGGTTATTCGAGTTCTTTACTACATGGTGAATAGATGAAGAATTGTTGTGTCTATCAAGAGTTTTTTTTATGATTTTTGCTTTTTTTTTTTTTTTTTTTTTTTTTTTTTTTTTTTAACAAATGAGCAAACAAGTAAACGCTCGGCCAAAAGCCTATAGAAGTTGGTCAAAAACTATTATCAAAGGGTTCAAAATGATGTGATAATAACAACCTACTCCCAGGAATATCTAATAATAAAATGGATAATGACATCACGTGATCAAAGCATACACCATTAAAAATGCCATGACACAAAAGCAGTATATTTCAGAACAAGAAGGTTACACTGGACCTCTGTCAATGAACTCTACTGTCAGGCAATTATATGTTGCAGAGAGACACGATAAAAGCAGCCTAAATTAGTGTTACAGTGAAGAGTAATTATTTTAATTATGTACATCATCAGAAAACATGCACTTGTTTACCTTCGATATGTTTATTCACCTCTTAATATTGACCGAAAATATTTTTTCAGAGCATTTACTTATTTATGCTCGAAATTAAACATTAGAGAGGGGGAATGTTTATGGTGTTTTCTGTTATAAAATAACAACTTAAGTCTTGCTAAAAGGTTTGGGATGTCTAACACTTAAAAGTAGCTTACGATCAGACATGTGTCATGACCCTGAACATAGGTCACTAAGAAAAGAGGTCAGGAAAATAGGAAGTGAATTTCTTGATTGCTCCGAGACTTATTAAAATGTATGATTCTGATTGTGGCAATGATCAGAGAGTTATAAATCTTTAACGGGGTGGGGGGTTGGGGGGGGGGGGTTGAACAAAGTCAAGATGATTGGAGTAGGACGTGTAAAATTCTCGTCTTACCCATAATTCGATCTGTAATACGGAATTATAATAACTTAAACTTAGCATGCAGTTAAGTTATGGTCAGAGAGTGTGTATAAACTTTGATCCAGAATCATTTGGGCAATCTGGATTGTAAAATTGTTGATCAATCTATATCTCATGTAGAATCATATACAGGTCACACTTGAAACAAAGGTAGCCTCTGATAGCTGATATGTCACAACCGAAACCCCTACACCAAAATCACGTAGATGATATGAAAATTTGCTACTCTTGGAGCATCCTTAAACTTTCTTGTTTATGCTGTAGTTCAATGAATAGATTTTAAATAAAGGAGAAGAAAATTTAGGAAAATGATATCAAGACAAGATATTAGGATAATACTGAAAAACAAAGACCAACAAAATTATCTAACAGATGTCATGATGCCAAGAACTCATTCCTACAAGGTCTTGATTTTATAATCTTGAGAATTCAAATTAGAAATATTTTGCTGGCAAATGTATTCCACTTCTTCCCTGTGTTTATTCCATATATATTATACAAAGGGCTATGTATTTGACAATCTTAGATTGGAATTGTTCATAAAATCATTCATATTTTCCCATTTTTTTTACCTATGTTGTGTGAGCCTCGAACTGCAGTTATAAAAAGTATACGAGCATAAAGAGGATACAATTTGAACTACTTTATTCCTCTTTATAGATGTTGGATATAAATGGATTTAACATGAATTTTGGGTAATTATAAAATCTAAGTCGATTTTGAGTTGAGTTTACAAATTCATCAATTCTACTCTGTGTTTCTTTACTGAATTATTGCACCCTGGGAGAGATGGGATTTTATCGAAAATTGAATAAGTGTACTCTAAACTTGTTAATTCAATTATTTGACAAAGTGTCTTTATATAACAGAAATTATGGAAATATACATAACTATGAACTGCTGGTTGTTTTTGTGGTGAGGCTTAAAATGAGGAGAGATGTTAATTTCATAAATATATATTTTCGTTATTTAACAAAATAAAAAAGATATTGAAAAAATAAGTTCGTATTTTCTCCCGATGCTGTGACGTAAATATTGAAAAGTTATCAAAAAACAAAATGAAATATTGGCACACAAATACCACATACAAGGATGTAAAGTCCATGTCAATTAAATAAGATTTATTGCAAGACATCAACTAATGCACCGAGCAATATGTTTGACAGAACCATTTATCGACACCAATATTTTACAAACTCCAAAGTCATTACTGGGTATTGCCATTTATATAACTACACTTGGATGAAAAAAGAGGCTTTTAACAAATAAGAAAGGGTAGTTATTGAGTTAATCAGCTCTCTCCCCCGAAAGGTCAATACAAATAGATGACGTCATAACATTTCTCAGAAATCGACATAGCTGAAGACGGGGGATTATTTGTGTTTATCTCTCACCCCAATTAACAAAGTACTTCACTTATTTGACATTTATATATGGAAAAGTTATTGATATCTTACAGATTTTTTTTTCTTGCTTTGTAAAACAATAAAATTTAAGTTATAGTATCATAAGTATTAAAGACAAAATATATCATACAAAATATGCAGAATACATTTAATTAAGAAGTGTGTTTATTTCAAAGAAAAGTTTGGACAAGAAAAATATCAACTTTATCTCAATTACTGAATAAGAATGCAACAGCGTGTGTGCATTTAATCATGGTTTTTATACGTTGTATTAAAAAAATATAATTTTAATATATTTTTAAAGCAGAAATCTGTCTAATTAAATTCTTCATAACTGTATAGAGTATGTTACAAATAGAGGATAAAAATAACTTTTATGAAACGTAAAAATTAAATTAATATATTCTTAATATGTACAAAGATCATGTTAAATGTTCCCAGTACACAAAAAATCAGACCGTTCAATACAAAAAATGCACACCTTTTGTGCAACGCCAACCAGTTGGTGTACACATTTTAGTTTACATCATATTGGTCTGTTTTCTTTTCCACGGACGTCAGTTTTAAATTGATAAAAACAATTTTGACATTAAAGAGGTTAACAGCTAGTTTTTTCAATATGATGTTCGAATGTGAGAATGGAACCACGTGCTACAATTTACCTCATCAGCCGTCTGTATATAAAGACCGCCTCAGGCCTTGATTCGATCAATATCAAAACTTCAGCATTGACTTAAGCTCTACCTGAAGCTCAGTATGAGTAGGTCTTAGCTGTGTGACTTTGAAGATACACCTGTATAAACCGTGCTTATAATGAGGAAAGAAAATCAAGTCACGGAAACTCTGGAAGACACAAATTCTTTGCTCTGCACTCAGTCGGAACTAAAATCGTCAACAATGTTTTCTGAATCTCCGGAAAAATCATTTAACAAGTCCCGTGTCGCCCGTCCGTCTGTGTCCGCTCCACAATCCAGGACGAGCTCCATACGAAAAGTTAAAACAGATAGCCTTGGACAAACTAGCAAAAATATACGAAGGAATAGTCTTCCACTAGATTATGATTTGACAAATATATTTCCATTTCACGACGGAAATTTCCCTCAACGCACTAATTCTCATGAGACTTTCCAACGTGTAAGATCATTTAAAGTGACTTCCAAAGGACTTGTTAACCATGGCGATTCCTTCAGAAATAAAAACAGGGGTAGAACTCTTCCGTCAAGTGGATCATTTAAACTTGACAAAAAACAGCCATTGCCGAGCGAAACCTCAAATGATACGGACAGTTACTCTAGTAGTGCTAACGAGTATTTTCGAATTGCAATACTTGGTGCCCACAGTGTTGGAAAAACAACGCTTATGAACCAGTTTATGACATCTGAATATATTGGCGGACAGGACGATGTCAGTGGTAGGTACAGTTATAAAAGTATACTTATATAAGCAACATTTCTTTAATATTTTAAGAATTAGATTTACAAGTTAGATTACACGTAGAAATATAGACAAGTGTCATGGTTTGTCCTTTTTTTCTGTCGTAGACAACAGAGCTTCCATGAATGTTTCGGTGCTCCTCGATGGCGAAGAATCCTCACTTGAATTTTGGGATGCTCAGGTAGACCATGTAGGTACCATAATCTGTTAATAAATAATTTATTTGTATTTGAATTAAATAACCTGCAATTATCAAAATGCATGATTTCTTCATATCCAAATTTTAGATTTTAACGTGTACTTTCATTTTACAGAATGTTGGTGAAAGTTTTTTTGATGCCTTTATCTTCGTTATGTCGGTGGATGATGTGGCTTCTTTTGATACAGCAAACGATGCCATGCACCGCCTAAGGAACGATCTGGGTTCTGATCGCCCTATTATTCTTGTTGCTAACAAGATTGATTTGGTACGCAACAGGAAAGTCACCTCCGAAGGTAGGTTCAACTCTTAATATAGCATCATATGATTTTCTGGATCAAGAGATACTGCTGTGATTATTCTATAATGAGATTATTTTTAGTTTTGCTTGCTGAGATCTCTGTAATTGGATTTAGAATCAATAACTTTTAATTCTTAGGGGTTTACACTTTATTAGCTATCTAATGAAGTAGCAAAATGCTCACAATTAGATGGATTGTAAAAATAAGTCAAGAGCTAATTGTAGTAAGAATTTTTGACCTGCCAAACCCAGGCATTAATTAAAAAAAATTTCTATGGAAAGGATTTACTCTGACGAAGAGGATAAGATTATTGTCCATTTTGGTTGATTACCAGTTATGCAAAATTATATTAATTTATCAACGATGGATAGAATTTGATTTAACAGCTCTGTAAAAGCTTCTTAATGATGAATTGCTATAGCCGTTTATGTAAACTCCAATCAGTTTTTGAGGCATTATATGTTAATATTGTAAAAGATAAGCTTTTTATACCAGATAATCAAAGTTTAATACTAGATCATCACTCACTAATATCTCCTTTTTTACTTCAGAGGCTAGACAAGTTGCAAATCAACATGACGCCAAATATATTGAGACGTCCGTGACATTACACCATCACGTGGATGAACTTTTAGTCGGGATAATACGTCAGATCCGGTTGCAATTAAATGGCATTATTCCGACATTCGTGTCTTTCAATAGCAAGAAACAAAAGTACATAAAAGGGCCAAGAAACTTTCTAAAGAAGATTCTAAAACTTAAAAGAAAAAGCAAAGAGTCAGTTGAGAATGTAATTGAATATTAAGTTACTTTTATGTGAATTTATCTGTGATAATATATACATTCGATTTGATATAAACATGCGATTTGTTAAACTGAGTTGTTAATAAATTTGTTGAACTGATATTATTGATGTGATGCTTGATTCAGATAATGTGATGCTCTTAATTATTTATACATTCTTATTGTTTTAATTGTTTTCATAATTTATTTAAATGAATACACTACATAAAACACAGCAAGATACTTGAAACTCTTATATATATCGCAGATGTTCCGTATGAATGAAGATTACTATTAATATTTGAAACAAAAATAAAATGGTTATATTTATAAGATAGTTTTGCTTCATGCATAGTTGAGAACTTACAAGACAAAATCATGATAAAAGAATTCATATTAATGAAGGATAATGGCTACTGATAATTACCAATACTTTATCATGGTTGTCAAGAGAACCAGATGTGCCAATTGTAAATTCGTAAATCCACATTTCGTTCTTTAAATAACTACTGTCTATTGATAAATTACTAACATGGTCTAGAATAGAAGGTATTCAGTTGTAATGGAAGAAAGAAAAGATTCTTCAGAAAAAAAGAGTAAATGCTTGAGTTGAAAAGGCATAATATCTAAGTGATGAATGGCGTAATTATGCTTATCAAAAAGCACTACAGCACCAAGAAAAAAAGGCGCAAAAACGCAAATTAATATAGGCATTTGATCGTGAATAAAAATTTCTTCATAACGCAAATTAAAAGCTGGAAAAAAAACCACACACACGGAAAATTGCAATTGTACCTTTCCAAAGGTGAAAGATTGATTGATTGATTGTATGTTGTTTTACGTCCCATTCGAGAATTTTTCACTCATATAGAGACGTCACCATATACCGGTGAAGGGCTTCAAATTTTGACCTTTACTCGGCACTCAGGGCCATTGAGCAGTGAGGGATCTTTATCGTGCCAACGCCTGCCGTGACACGGGGCCTCGGTTTTTAAGGTCTCATCCGAAGGACCCGCAACTTTCACTTCAAGTGCCGAGCGCATGGCGAAGGAACAGTTGCTACCCATTTTTTATCGACTTAGGTCAGTCGCGGCCGAGATTCGAACTCACGACCAAAGGTGAAAGAATACGAAGTCAAGAAGGTGTAAAAACGTTCAGCAAAAGGACGGTATTAAATATTTAAAATAATAAAGAAATTGCAAGTTTTCAAAAGACGTGATAGATTTTCACTGACATTATTTAAAATTACATTTTGAACGGTATTATAACGCCTTTTGACTCACATTATTACCACCTTTTAATAAAAACTGCATAAAAATGCATAAAAATGTATTGCCTTTTAGTGTTAACACTGCTTTTAAATACCTTTTTCCCGATATAACGCCTTTTGATTCAATATATTAGTTCTTTTTATTTAGCTTCATTTCTTTTTATTTGAGTTCCGCCTTTTCACTTTGAGTTATAACGCCTTTTGATTTTTCTCTAGTTTTATCCTTAAAGGATAGTTCAGCGTTTGGAACGTGTTCTGAAGGTCAGGAGTTTAACTCCGGCTGTGTCCGACATTTCTAAAGCACAAGCGTTTATCCGCCAAACACTTCGCAATTGGGATTATAGCAAGTGAAAGTCACGAGTTTTCTGAGACAAAAAACCTAGGAGTTTTGACACACAACGCACAGTGGCGGACTCATGGGGTGGGGAAGGGTCGGGACCCCCCCCCCCTCCCGCTCTGAATTATTTTTTAAAAAGTGTCATTTTAACAATACATTTACGGAAGCTTATTAGTGCCAAATAATATTTATTTAATTGGTAATCCCAACTTTAAGTTGGCTTTTCCAACTAATGTTGGTAATTCCAACTTTAAAGTTGGCATTTTCAACTTTAAAGTTGGTAATTCCAACTTTGATTTAAGCTTTTCTAGCCCTTTTCCTTAGCTTTTTTCCTTTATTTTAAATTATTACCAACGCTATTAGTGCAAAATTAATACACTGAAATAGATTGGTGAGCAATTAATCTATGTAAATTATTTTTTTTTACTCGACCTTCCCAATAACCTTACATATAACTTCCAACTTTGAAAACCCTTATATTTTTGGGGGGTCCATCTTACAATGTATATAATTATATAGAGAATAACTTCATACAACTCCGTACATGACTGTATTTTAAACAAACCTATTTAGGAAATCAGATATATAATATTATTTTGTTTTGTATGAGAGAATAAGCTTAAACAAATATTATTTGGTGTTAAATACATGGGATGAATCGACACTATATTACATGCTACAAATACAACTGAACTAAATGTATACATTCTTTCTGAGAACACTTGTCAATGAAATAACTTCTTCTTTCATCATTAATTTAAAGTTAAAGTTGGAAAAGCCAACTTTAAAGTTGGAAACGCCAAGATTAAAGTTGATTTGAAAGTTGGTTGAAAACTTAGCAATTAAACCAGGGTACAGATCAGACCACTCATCAGTGGTTCTTGATATAAAATTTAATACCTTTAAGAAAGGAAAAGGTCTCTGGAAATTTAACAACTCTTTACTTACAGACATAACATATGTTAACAAGGTGAAAGAAACAATAAAGTCTATTAGAAAACAATATGAAAAGAATAATGTGCTTATAGATGATATGGATAATAGTACATTTCTTGAAGTCCTCTTAATGGAGATTAGAGGAATTACAATCTCATATTCGTCATATAGAAAGAAAGAAAAAAATAAAGAAGAAGCCTTGTTAATTGCACAAATAGAGAAATTAGAGGCAGAGAATATATTGAATCTACAGTTAATAGAAGAGAAAAAAACAAATCTTGAGAATTTGAGAAAAGAAAAGCTACAAGGTCATGTTATAAGGTCTCGAGCCAGATGGGTTGAAGATGGAGAAAAGCCATCTCAATACTTTTGTAAACTAGAATCCCGTAACTATTTAAATAAGATTATCAAAAAGATTAAAACAGTCAACGAGGTAATTTACAATCAATCAGAAATTCTAAATAGAATTAAGATGTATTACATATCACTGTATACTTCTGCAGACGCAGAACTTCTCGATATAGATCTGGCAGAAATTATTATAGTTACTGAAGTTCCAAAACTTGATAATAATGTTGCCAAATCACTTGAGGGAAATATTATGGAAAATGAAGTCTTACAGGTGTTAAAAAATATGAAAAACAATAAATCACCGGGAAGTGATGGTTTCACTGCTGAATTTTTTTAATTTTTTTGGTCAGATTTGAAACATCTAATAGTACCTGCCATAAATGATGTATTTCAGAAAAAAGAACTCCCTATCTCTCAAAGACTAGGGATAATTACATGCTTACCAAAAGGTGATAAGCCAAGAGAATTTCTGAAAAATTGGCGGCCTATTACACTTTTAAATGTGTTTTATAAACTTATATCAGGTTGTATTAGTTATAGAATAAGATCCACCCTGGACAATATTATATCAAATACTCAACTTGGCTTTTTAAAAGGAAGATACATAGGTGAAAATACCAGATTTCTTTATGATCTTATGGCTTACACTGAATCTAGAAATATACCGGGGTTGCTTGTACTTATAGATTTTGAAAAAGCTTTTGATTCAATATCCTGGACCTTTGTGTATAAAGTATTAGAATTTTTTGGATTCGGTAAAAACATCATTGAATGGGTAAAAATTTTAAATACAGAATTTTGTGCATCTGTTCTTCAATGTGGATTTTTATCTGAACAGTTTAATATCCAAAGAGGATGTCGTCAGGGAGATCCTGTAGCACCATATCTGTTTCTTCTTTGTGCAGAAATTCTTGCAATAATGATTAAACAAAATCAAAGCATTAAAGGAATTGTAATTAACAAGACAGAGCATAAAATATCTCAATATGCAGATGATACCTGGCTTGCCCTTGATGGTTCACCTGAATCACTTTTTGCAGCATTAGATACAATTGATTTTTTCTCAAAGTTTACAGGACTTAAAATTAACAGCTCAAAAACAAAAATTGTTTGGATAGGTTCAAAAAAATTCTCTAATCAAGTTTTTCACCATTCTCGTTGGAAACTTGAATGGGGTTGCACAACTTTCAATTTACTTGGAATTAATTTTTCAGTAGAACTAGATAAAATTATTGATATTAACTATAATGTTCAAATACCAAAAATCAAAGCATTAATTCAACAATGGAGAAGAAGAATTCTTACTCCTATTGGAAGAGTCACGGTGCTGAAAACATTGATTCTACCAAAACTTAACCATTTTTTTTTATATCCATACCAAATCCAAATAAAGAAACCTTGTCATTATTGAACAGAGAAATATTTGAGTTTATATGGAAATCAAAATGTGAAAAAGTAAAAAAAAAAATTATTACTCAAGATTTTTTACAAGGAGGATTAAAAATGTTGGATATAAATAACTTTATTATCTCTCTTAAGTGTTCCTGGATTAAAAGATTAACAAAAAGCAATCAACCATGGTTTGATATTTTTTCGACAATAAATGGTAAAGACATATTGACTAAACTTTTTGATTTTGGTGAAGAGTTTGTATCTTGTTTGATTGTAAAAAATAATGATTTTTGGAAAGATGTGTTTAATTCATGGCTATTTTACATGAACACACTCGATAACAATTCATATATGAAAACTAAGTATCTGAATTTACCTTTCTGGTATAATCCCAATATAAAAATGTGAAATAAAGTAATGTTTATAAAGACCTGGTATAAAAATGGTGTTAAAAGTGTTTGTGATTTCTTAAACAATGAAGGAAATTTTTTAACTCTCACTGACTTTGAAAATAGATTTCATTTGTTTAATGTTTGCATTATGCAATACAACAGTATTATCTGTGCTATATCCAGGTATTTAAAAACAATGTCTATAGACAAATCATCTGTTAAGAGACAATGTACACCTTTTATTCCTTTTTATTTTGAAAATATTATTGTATACGAGAAGTGCACAAAAATAATTTACAAATATTTGAATAGTAACCTTGTCACTCCTACATCAATATTTAGATGGAACCAGGAACTGTCAGTGTTTTTGGAATCTGATATTTGTGTTCAAGATGTTTTTAAGGTTTGTTTTAGAACAACTATGGATACTTCTGTTCAATGGTTA